ATACAACCTAGCACGCACAATGCTATGAAATGGCATACACGATGCATGAGGTAATATGGCATACACAATGCTCTAACATACAACTTAGCATACGCAATGCTATGAAATGAAATGGCATACACAATGCATAATGGACTTACACCAACGTGAATGGACCTCAGCCACACTCACATTAGTAGCCATATGATGAAAATGAGACACTCGAGATGCGTGCACGTATGCACGCAAACCGAGGACCGATCCTAAGGCATAAATGCCACTCTAACAAAGCATGGCAAGGTATGAAACATGATATGAAAAAATGCAAATTTTAGTACCAAAATATGATGCAAAATGACCCCAAAACATGGAAACATGGCACCCGATGCATGGAATAAACTCGAAACACGAAACTAGGCATGCGCATTGGCCTATAGCTATACAAAAAATGCATTATTTGAACATGAAGTGTGAAGACAGAATCAAGACAGTCCCAAAACAAGAATATTTACAGTTTCAATCAAGGCCAAAAAGTGAACACAAATAGGGCTAAGTTAGCATGCAAAAATGGCCCCGTAAGAGAGATAATGAAGCAAGTAGCAGCTTATGGCCCTAAATGGACAAGATCCCTTCAACAAAGTTGAAGAGGGGCTCAAAATGAAGCAATTTACAGCTTAAAATAAGCCATGAAAACAAACACAAGTATGGCAAAACTATTGTGCAAGAAATGGGCCAAAAGGGAGAGAAAGAAGCAAGTGATGGTTTCTGGCCTCAAAAAGAGGAGGTCCCTTCAACAAAGTTGAAGAGGGGCCCAAAACATGGTATTTTACAGTTAGTGACCAGACCCAAAACAGTGCACATGCAAGCTTAAAATACTATGCAAAATAAGGCCTAAAAAGAGGTTTAAACACAAAGAGCAAAAAGGGAGCTTCAAACAGTAAAAGTCCCTTGATCAAACATGAATAGGGGGTCAAAATAAGGCTATTTACAGTTCAGACCAGGGCACAAAAACACAAGCACGAGGGGCTAACAAAACATGCAAAAATAAGGCCAAAAGAGGGATAAAGAGGCAAGTGACAAAAGGAAGCCTCAAACAGTGAAGATCCCTTCAACAATGTTGAAGAAGGGCTCAAAATAACCCACTTTTTAGTTTATAACCAAGCTCGAAACAATTTACAAATGAGCCTAAAATACTATGCAAGAAAGAGGCATACAAGAGAGGTAAAGAAGCAAGTGTAAAAAGGAAGCCTCAAACAGGGAGAGGCCCTTAAACAAACATGAAAAAGAGATCAAAATAATACTATTTTCAGTTAGGGTCGGAGCCCAAATATGCAAGCAAGAGGATCTAATATATTGAGCAAAAATAGGGCCAAAGAGAGGGATAGAAGACTTACCCTTGAAGCCTATGTCTTCAACAACTCTTGGACCAAGTTTGGGAGCCCTTAACCTCTGGAAATGGCCTTGAAGCTGCTGGAATGGAGTGTGGATTGGTTGGCTTGGAGATGGTGTAGAAATGGTGTAGGACTTGAGGGGTTTTGATGGTTAAAATATAGAGAGAGAGAGAGATTGAATGCAAGAGGCTTAAACCAAAACTTTCTAACCTCTGAAATGCAGCTGGAGCTGCTGGTTTTGTAGACAAAGGAGTGGAAAAAAGGAGGGAAAAATTGGGGGGAAAAAACAATTCAAATTTCCCCCCAAAAGGTTGACCCTCGGGCATAGGGCCTAGGGGAAAACAAATTGCACATCTAGAACACACTTGGGGAGGGGGTCATGGCCGGCCAGCTCAAAAGGGCAAAAAAGGTCATCCAACTAGGTAAGTGGCCGGCCTGCTACTTTTCAGAACAAAAAAAAGGTTTTTCCGGAAAGAAAGGTGTCCGGCCGGTGATTGGGAAGTCCAACGGTGGCCATTCAAGTGTCCAAATTGAAGCCCCAGAAGTTATCTTTCCAATGGCACAAACCTTGAATTAAAATTCCTCCTGTGAAAAAAGTTATGCTAGTTTCCGTGAAGCCGCGTAGATTCGGTCCTACCCGGATCCATGCCGAACTTCTCCCAACCTTGTTTTCTTCTCTCCTCTCCTCTTTTCTTCAAATCCAAACCCCTAAACAAGGTGTTTTGAAAGATTTTTCAAAAGAGTTCATCTCTCCTTCATTCATTTCCACTTTGTCCTCGCTTGGTTTACCGAAAAGCGCGACATTTAACAAAATGCGAGCGTCGGGACATCGTAGAAACTTTATTTAAAAAACGTTTTTGAAAGAGAGGGTTTCAAGGTCTAAAATCTTTTGATCAAGATTGTTTTGGTCCAAAAAAGGGGTATGAAGTTGAGATTTGACTCTCTCTCCTTGCCGAAGAAATTGAACCTTTGCCCTGCACATCTTTCAAAACCATCAGTCGTGTCCAAGTCTTAAAGGCAGTCAAAAATGGGGTGTTTACAGTAGGTTGATGTTACTACTCGCATGGCGTGCAACCATGCTCTCCCCAAAATAATGTTGTAAGTGGAAGGGACTTTCAGCACCCAGAATTCCACTTGCTTTGTCATTGTCCTAGCTTTCACTACAACAATTAACACTTTTAGCAACAAAAAAATTGGTCGCTAAAAGTCTATTTTTGGTCGGCAAAAGTTATTCACGACCAATTTTTTTGGTCACTAGTTTGGTCGCCAATTGAGGATTGGCAAAAGTAATTCGCGACCAAAATTTTCGTTGGTCGGCAAAAGTTGGATTTGCCGACTAAATTTTTGGTCGCTAAATATTTAATTACCGCGACTAATTCATTTTGTCGCTAAAACACTTTGGTCGCGAAATGTGATATTTTCCCGACCAAAAAGTTTGGTCGTCAATTATCACATTCAACGACCAAAAAGTTTGGTCGCCAATTGTGACATTATGCGACCAAAATTAGTTTGGTCGCCAATTGTTACTTTTCGCAACCAAAACTGTTGGTCGGCAAAAGTGAGTTTCCACGACCAACAAAATTTTTGGTCGGCAATAGATGTATTTTTTGCGACCAAAACTCTTGGTCGGCAATTGTCATTTTTTGTGAAAAAGAATAATTTATTTGTCGCGACTAATAAATTGGTCGCCAAAGCAGGAAAACAATACACCTGTAATATTTAGCGAATTCATAATCAAAGTAGGACGAATTCATAATCAAAACAGGTCTTATTATAAAATTTTCTATATCCAAGTTTCAACACATAACTCAGCAGTAGCAACTTTGATTCCAAAAACAAGGAACAATTCACAAAACCCTATTCTAAACCCCAAAAAATAAAAAACAATTCATTCCAACAAAAATTTAACATAATCAGCATCAATTTTAAAAAAAAAAGAACATCTGGTGTTAAGAAGGTTTAGTATTGTTGAGTATTGTTGTTCTTTTTTATGTAGGGCATCCAGCTCCTTTTTGGCCTCTGCAAATCTCTCTTTGTCGTACGCGTCAACAAGGTAAACTACAGAATCCACCTGCATGATGATAAAAAATTATATACTATTTGTGAACAAAATTCAATAAGCACTATCATATAAATGAGCTATGATTTGTCCTTTTCGTGCCTTGACAGTGAAAAAAACTAACAGCAATAACAATAACAGGATGGAAAATTAAATCGCTTTGGTCGTGTAATCAATTATACATTGATGAAAACACTGAAGGTCAAATAAAAATCATTCACCAAAGCTTAACATGCTTTACTTACAACATTTGCAGATTCATCATTTTTCAAATATATTTCGGGATTTCACCAGAAATGTTGCAGTTTCTCAAAACCCTCAATACGAAAAAAATGAATAAAATTAAACTCAGGATGAAACTCACCTATACACACTATAAATATTGAACATTATAAATTATATAATCATCAAGCATACAATCTTACTAGCCCTATGGTGTTGCTCAAGGTAGGAAATTCCTGAGCCATCCCATTTATGTCACTGATTCTCCTGGTCAAAGAGATCACACCATGAGCAATTCCATCAGTAACTACTAAGCTACAAAACACCCTTCACAGTATTAATGAGTTCAAAGCATCAGCAACATGCAAGTATGATTGCTTCATATGATGATTGAGAGAACATACTGTTTCAACAAGATCCATGGACCCAAATAGTTGATTGTGAATGTGCACCATATTGTTCAAGATGGAGCCCTTCATTAAGTTCCATTCCTCCTCCAGAGTATCATCTTCCTCTTCAGCTTTCTTTATGGATGAAAAGACACTGTTAGAAAAACAACTATACACACACAGCACAAACACAAATTATAATTACCTTTTCAGCAACTTTTTCATCAGAAAGCAATTCCTGCCATTCTGAAAGTATCTCATTTTCTAATGAACCACCAAGAGTTGATATGTCAATTTCCATTATGTTCTCTATCTTAAATGCACGAGGCTTGAACTTGAATTGTCGAGCTTCATGATCTTCTTTGGTCTTTACTTCAACTTTCATATTCATCCAAAGGCTAGCAAACTCATCAAATGTCTTATCCAAGAGCTGATTGATAAATACACCATATTAGTTAAAAGCCTTGATGCAAATAAATTTCTGGAATACTTTTGTTTGAAATCCTACAGAGGAGTAATTCTTACAACAAAAGATGCATTATCCATTAATTGGGCCTCAGCAATAGAATGCGCTACACGGAGAAGAATGTTGTGATGTATGGAAGCTTTCAGTTGCAAGTCTGAGACCTGTTATCAATGGGAAGTATTTGAATACACAGCTTCTCATCAATTCAGACAAAAGTCAAGCACATGGGAAACTAGAAGAACCATGAGATACAAAGACAATATGCTCATGAGTCTAATTAAATCAGAACATGTATACAGGCAAGAAATTAAATCAAAGGAGTCACAGACCATCTTATCAGAATTGACATCTCTTGTCGAAGTAACCAAACTTTCCAGCAAATTCATATCCATTGCCTTCCATAGGGAAATCTATATCACATGAAGGAAACTTGGCCAACCCACAGTCGATCCTGACATAAACAACATCAAATGCAAAGCCTCTAGGAAATCTCATAAATGAATAAATTGTCTCCTGCTAGGTAGTTTTCAAATTTAGCAACGATAGAACCAACGATAAACCTAGTTTCAACGATAGAACCAACGATAAATTTAGCAACGATAGAACCAACGATAAATTTTCTGAATGGCACTTGATAGAATCAACGATAAACCTAGTTTCATTTCATATATAGCAACTTGAACTGGTTGAATTATATCGACGTATGCAGAATATTCATTTGATAGCCGATCAATGAAACGGGTTGCTGTTTCTTGATAGATCAAAAGATAAAATGGATGTCATGAATCATATTTGTAAAATTTTATGAGTAGCTTATTAACTGAACAACATAATAATTTGAAAGGATACAATTGCATTAAGGAAAAAGTAAAAGGCCCATGTAATAAGCAGTTCATCTAAACGTACAATCAAATAGTTAAAAATGAGTATTCAGTCAAAAATAGCTAATTTATACCTGCCAATTGCACACTTGGTCACTAATCTGTTGTTTGTCCATGCTATCAACATCTTTGATCAGACCAACAGAAGTTACAACCATTTAAAGAAACTCCTCACATTCATATTTTAACTTTACAAATTTCCTAGGATCAGAGCGGAACACAATCTGCGTGTCGAAACAAAACTCATTAAGAGGGTGTGAAAAAAAAAGAAAAATAAAAAAAGAAGATAAGGATAAAGAAAAAAAAAATATTAAAGCAACAAGAGTTCTATATTAAAAAAATTTATAGCATTATCATGCAGCCAATTACTACAACACATTAGTTCACAGTAAAAATTAAGGAAAATAGCTAAACTTTCCAGAATTGGATACCCAAATCAATTGGAGCATAAATATCTAAACTTTATGGCCCCAATACCACTAATCTATGAGATATAATATATTTACAGAGCGACAGAGGTTGGGCTAGAAGTCACTGAACCATATGGAAGTTTCTAAAGAGGGTGTGAATTTGAAGTTTCTAAAGACATGAACATACAACCCAGAATTTGAACTTTTGTACATACAATTGCCATCACCACAGCAAACTGATATATGGGTTCAACAGATTGTTAGGAAATACTATAGTAGCCAGATCATCCCCATTGATTGGATGTAAAACAACCATATGGAATATATATATATATATATATATATGGGTTTAACATATTTTCACAGGATTTTAGTTCAGTGAAAAAATCAAAAAATCATCCAACAGCTATTCCAGCCACTAAAAATGATAATGCTTAGTACAAGATCAAATTCTCACCTAACTTCATGGTAATTGAAACTTAAACCAATAGGAAGCCATGATGCACTTTCAATCCACTCCCCACATTCATGGAGATGATTACCTATTGAATATGGTAATCCTAATTATGTATGTTCAATCAGATAAATTGATGCATTCTTATTGAATGTGTTGATTAATCCTTTTAAAGCACCAGAACTTCTGTGCAAAGTCCTATATTTGATACAATACTAAGATCATTTGAATGGTTTGTAGATCCTCATGGCATAAAATATAAAGTTGCCTCAAATTTAACTTGCATTGCACATAAGTTGTCTGGCTTGAAAAAAAGGAAAAAGAAAAAAGGATAGAACATGTTTCCATTGGACTGAACCATAGGTTGTATTAAAAAAGTTCCATCTTTTCAATATAAGGCATACTAAAACAAGGTATATTAATGACATGCCCATTTTCATTTGTTGGACTCCAACACTTGTCTTTAGACACTTCTGACACGTGTCAAACACGTCCAGTTATTATTATTATGATGATTATTATTAGGAACTAATAATTACCTTTGAAGTAAATTTAGGAACTAATAATTATAAAAAAAAAAAAGTGAATTTATACCCATTAATCCATTCTCATTTGAACTTTGGAAATGCGTGTTATGTTGTGTATTTTTATTAACTTTGACTGAAATATTTATATATATAACATATGATAAATATAAAAAAATTATATTTTACTCATGTCCCCATGTAATGTCCTGCATTTTTTTGGAAAATTGTTGTATCGGTGTGTCCGTGTCCATGCTTATTAGATTATAGGGTTTTTGGTAGAGGACAAAGTGAAGATTTGAATAGATAACAAGATCATATCTTCTACTTTTTATGTATTTATTTGATGATCCTAACACAAGACATGTTTTAAAAGTAAGCTAACATCAATTACTAATAAATTAATTAAGTAATTGGCATGAGGAAAAAGGTTCCAGTCACTTCATAAAGTCTTCTTCTTAACAATGATCCAGCTATTATTTGGTTGATACTAGCAAAACAATTAAAATACATTATTAAAACAAAATTATCATAAAGGAGTTTGGATCAAAATGTGATGTCCATGGGTTGCACACACTTGCTCTTTGATAGGAACAAGGAAACAAAGTATTGCTTGGATGATTGGAGGCAACATGTTAAGAAGGTGAAACGTCAAGTAGTCAGCACTTGCAGGCTACACACAACCAACTTGTGTATTCAAATTGGTATGACAGATTTCTTTAAATGAAAAAATAAAATAAAAATCCATAATCTGTAGTTCATTAGGTAAAGCTTACCTGCAAAGCCTTTGCCAATATGATACTGAACCCAAACAAGCTTCTCATCAGGAGGAACTTTTTTCCCAATATACTTCTGTACATTAAAAAGCAGGGAAATACCCATCACTATGCTAAAAAAAATGTTGTGATAGCATTATATGAATTTTAGCAATGAAACCTCAATTTTAAAGCAATGATCCCACTCCAATACTCACCAGTACACCTATATTCTGAAGCGGCTGTATGCTTGAGGAAACAATATTTGCAGCCTATAAATCAAATAATAAATACATTGAGGATTAGTTTAAGTAACAAGGGGATATCTTGATCACAAACATGCATACATGCTGATTAGTTTAAGATACCACTGAAAGTGCATATCTTGATCACAAAAGATCACATATATACCAACAAGGGGATTTGAGCACCGAACATCAAAGATGAGAGGTCAAACAGATACCACGAAGCTTAGATCACCGATTTTCTGTTGCCAAGCAGTCCAAAGAATTCCTGTGTTCATTATTTTGTGATTGAGAACCATTTGATCTCATTGTACTCCTCACATGAATATAATCAAGTCGTTTGAAAGTTTAACTTTGACGATAGTTATATTGGTATGGTTGTTAGAATCGTACAATTCATGATTCGATATGATTCATGATTTGTTTCGCAATTTGACAACAATGGGTAACCCATTCAAAACAATACAGGCGAACTTGGTATGAGGAATATCCTTGGTGATTAATTTGGCCAATAACTTCTCATAGTGTCTGTGGAGGCAACCAGCTGCAATGCCTGAGGTGTCGGATTCTATCGAAAGAAGAGATTTCTACCCTTATTATGATTTATATAAAGAGAGGCTATTAGCATTTAAAGCAACTAACATGCGTACATGCTGGTTAGCCCAATTCAACCAAATTTGCTAAAAAAGGAGTGGGCTTGTGAAAAGAACATTTGAGCTTATGATGTGTATATGACTCTTTAGGCATGTCATTGACCAATACCAAGATAGTAATCACCGCCATAAAATTGACAAGACCTTCATCAAGCAATATAGTAACCCAACATTTGTAGGATATTTTAAAAAATGAAAGAAAAAATCATCTCGAACAACAAAGACCTGGTAGTTCTTCATCTTTATATGTGTATGTGTGTATCTACTCATCTTATGTGTGTAGTGTGTATGTTTCTTTATATTTGTTGGTGGAATTGAGGTAATGCTTCTCTATGCATTGAATTCAAAACATATATTTGTTGTCAGAAAAGTTGTGTAATTGACATATTTGGCCCTGCGATTTTGACTTAGTCAGGAACTCATTATCTTTCCTTGGACTTGGGATCTCATACTGCTTCTTTTAGAATTTCAATTAATGTCACTGATTTAGGTTGTGTGATATAGTTACTTCTAATTTTCTCCCTTTGATTATCATGTGACACATCTAGTTTGATCTGTCCTCATTATCAAATGAGTCCCCAGGACCCCATGCCTCATTGTATGACTGCCTGCAATATCTGCTTAATTAGCTCTGCCAGTTTTTTGGTGCCATTGATACCTGGCGAAGCTACAGTATAGTACCCATAGTATGCTGAATTTTTTTAAAGATCGCTTTTTGGTGGAAGAAAATCTTTTCGAGGTTTTACAACATAGTATAACAAATTTCCCCCCTCTATGTTGCTTCACAGCTACAAAAATTCTCCAAATGATCTACAATTAATGGCGGATGCCTCCAGCGCATCACTTATTTGTGTTACTTGGTATATTACTTGTTATGTTTTGCTAATTCCATTAATGCTTGTTCTATCTCCCCCCTTAATGCCTGATGTATTTATGAACTCTATGCAGGTCCTGTTGATGAGTCCAAAAATCACCTCCCCTGATATTCTCTGTGTTATCCAGGTTTGTTTCTTTTTTATTGACACACACACCAGTATTTACACACTAGTATTTAAGGATTGGTAATCTTTTTTAGAAATTGAATGACTTTGGTCTTATTATACATTCATGAGGAAGGTAATCAAAAAGAAAGAAGACAAGTTCTTTGTTTTATCACTTAGGAGCAGTGTGAGATGAAGTCTCATGCACGGTTTTGAATGAGAGAAAACAAGTGAGGAGATGTCTGCAACTCTTTTCTGTTACTACAAACATTATTCTATTGTGACTTCTTTGACATGACATGAATATCCATTTCGCCCCTTTTATACATCCTTTTGGTGCGATGTTTTCTCCTCTTTAACCAGACTTCCATTCAATCAAATACTATTGTTGCTAGAGTTCTGTCCTCTTCATAATTAAACATAACGTGGAACATTTGCTAAGCATATAGTTTGGAAAAATAAGTATGTTCTTGAAGAAATAGGCTATAGCAGTGGGAAGACTCATACAATGCAATGTAAGTTGCTGTACTAGTTTTACGTTGGTGCTTGTTCTCACCCAAAAAGGATGTGTGCCTAGACAGTAAAAGGAGAAAGGGCAACTATATTCCTCCCCAAATTTATATAATTAATAGGAGGATTTTTTATGGATAAAAGGAGAAAGGGCATAGGCGCCATGGCTTGGTGGGCCTTATCAGTACAATGGTCAAAACCTTTTCCATTTGTGATAAGAAGTAAAGCTTATAAGGTGGAATAATATGTTTGCATTTTTGCAATTTTTTTTTTTTGCAGAGATTGATTGTTATTATATATATTTATATATATATACGTATATATTTATGCTATTAATTAAAAGTTGCAAGAGAGGATAAGTTTGACAGAGACTAGAGCGGAGAAAAAAATCTACAATTTTCTTTTGTTATTAAACGATATCAATGAAGTTTTACAACAACACTGATCAAGTTCTATAGTACAAAAGAACCGATACATTGATTACATGAACCCCCATATCTGCTTCCATTTGTAACATAGCATAGTTTCATTCTTCCTGACACATCATTTAAATCAAGAATAAAATGTGAAGCAATTAATTTTAGGACTATGGCATATTTATTGTACTTCTTAATTGTTAATTGAAGTCCCTATGTGACCATCCGGTACATTTTCTGAGAAGATCTTGATATAAAATTTCAATTGAGATGAATTTGTCCCATTTGCATGCTTTGTTACAAGTTCACAATCTCTTGTTTCAGGGAGATTGTGGTGCAGTTCAATGCTGATGTGGCTGATGGAATGCAATGGAACCTATTGGTTATGTGCCGGTGTTGGTGGATGAGGACATTGTGCTTTCTGACTCTTTTGCAATCTTAATGGTGAGTGGTTGGACCTTTATTGTCTACACCCCATTGGATTGATTTTATTAAAATTTTCAATGTTTCTAACCATGTGCTTAGTAATTTACAGTATTTGGAAGAGAAATATCCTCAACATCCATTGTTGCCTTGTGATCTTCAAAGAAGAGGCATCTACTACCAAGTATAATGCATCTAATCTCTTATTTTCTTGATCAATTGATATGAGTTGTTTATTATTTACAACATTTTGTAGCTCTTTTCCATTCACCAGTATGATATTTATTTGATTCAATGTGTTTGAACCTAAGCATCCATGTGAGGCTCTAGAAAGGCTAGAATTTCACTGCTTGCATAATTTTTATGTTGTCATATTTCTACGAGTTCACACTAAAATTAGCACACTTTATTTATACCAACTATAGTTACAACTAATATTAGCAAACTTTATTCAAACCGAATATAGTAACAAATCAATTTTTATGAGGAATAAGCTAGAAAATTCAGGCCTGGTGAAGAAACGCTAGTTGGCTTAAAATTCCTTATGTGACAACAGAGTTAACATTATATTGTTATGGAGTTGTACTATATGCATCTTATTACTCTCACAGTTGAAGGTGTTTAAACCAGGAAAATTTAT